AGAATCAGACAAGGCTGTGGAAACTGATTCAATTATTTATGATTCCTAAAATTACCAAAATAAAACTTTTTTAACCTCAGAAATTATCCTAATGAGATAATTTTAAAAAGAAACAGTTTATATGTTGAGCAATGGATTTGATCAAGTAAGTAAGCCTTTGTTAGTTGATGGAGAGTGACTTTACGATTAAAATTCTGACTATGAAAGTGGTAGAACTGTGAGATGTCAGGAGCGGTGGCTATAATGCATTCACGCTGCTAAGTTCAGTCCTGTGAACAAGCAAGCCCGTGGTCGTTAATGGTGGTGGGATTATGATATATTGCAACTCGTGTTGGTGATATTTACTTACGAGAAGAAATGTTAAGATTTGTTTTATTAAAAATGTTTTTTCCTCTTTTTAGCTGACTACGCAGACTCTGCCTTTTCCGTGTTTCCATGGCCAGAGACATGACCTGACGCCTTGATGAGCAGTCTCAGGGCCCTTGGGTGACTGGCTGGGGCACCATGGAGCTTAAAGTATGGGTGGACGGAGTTCAGAGGATTGTTTGTGGGGTCACCGAAGTCACAACTTGCCAGGAGGTTGTCATAGCCTTAGCTCAAGCGATAGGTGAGTGACCCCTCGGGGTGCCCGAGATACAGTGGTTTCTGCTTCTGCTTCCTGTTGTTATTTCTTGTTGTTTGTTTTAAACATAGACATTGTATAGGTCTGTCAGAATCCATCAAACTGTAGCTTTGAAATATGCGCAGTTTACAGGAATTATGCCATTGTAAAGGTGTTAAAAATTTTTTTTAAAGAATCATTTTTTCATCCCCCCAAAAAAGATTTAAAAATAAAAAACACATACACACATACATACATACATACATCCCTCCCTCCCTCTCGTGGGTTTTGTTCATTTGGTTCCATAATTCCTCTCTCAGCCTCTCAGACACACTTTTGCTTATTACTGCCCCCTCCCCCCAGCTCAGGTCAGTGTGAACACATGTTCTCTGCCTCCCCCCAGACTTCACTGATCTTGAGTCTGGCTCTGCACTGTCTTCTCTCCTGTTTTTTTTGATCCCAAACAATGATTTCTGGAGCTAAAGATGTTTTCTTGAACCAAAACATGAATTTTTAGTTCCCAGACCCCCTCATTAGGGAAGAATCCTATTTCCTTTTTATTCTGAATACTTTTAGAAAACCAAATGTGACAAATTAAATGACATGGTTTTTCATTAGAAACATAATGTGCACTTTTAAAATCTTACACAGTAAAGATGAAGTTGTCAAATCCATGCTTACCAGCTCCATCTTATTCACCTACCTTGTTACAACTATCCTTATTTATTCTCAGTTCATCTTTGTCATATTTTATGCATGTTTTTTAGTTGCCTTAATTTCTTTTGGAACATGATGAGGGCATAAACACACCAGTTAAGCCAGTCACATGGGCCAGTTTTTCATTTATGTCTTAAATCCATCATTTAGCAAACATGTAGACTTGACCCTTGAACAACGTGGGTTTCAAATGAAGAGTCCACTCACATGTGGCAGTTCCCCACAGTAGTAGATACTGCAGTACCGCACGATTCGAGGTCGGCTGAATCCACAGTCGTGGAGGCACTGCGGGTAGAGAGGGCTGGCTGACTCTGAGTTGTATGCGGATTTTCAACCTCCTGGAGAGTTGGCGCCCCTAACCCCTGCATTGTTCAAGGGTCAGCTGTACTAAGAGGAAACCGTGTTCAGCACCATGCTAGGTGCTCAGTGCCTCTTTGTCTTTGAGCTCCTTATCAAAAGTTGACTTTTGTGTCATGCTCGTTTATATTGGAAGCACGTCAAGTTAGCTCAGGATTGAGACAAGCCACTGTTGCTGTGGCTCTTAGCATTTTGTCCAGGTGGTTGTGTCCTTGCGTTGTGGCAGAGGCGCTGTTAGAAGTTGGCAGTGCCCTGTACAAAGAAAGAGGCTTTCTTTTAATGCTGACATCTTTTGATTTTTCCTTAAGTACTGCATAGCACACTTGTGTATTAAAACAATGCTGAAAACCCCAGGCTGTCACATCCCACGAAACTTTCTTGCATTTGGCACTAATACTACACTTATGGACTTGAGTTTAATTATTAAAGAGGGGAAATTTAAAGCAATTAATTTTATTTCGTATTCTTTGCAACCAACTTATTTAGTAATTATCCCTTTTAAAAGCCTCACATAACTTATTTGAATTAAAAAATATTCGGCATTGTTGGTTTTTTCCTGCCTTTGTGAAAACTGGGATTAGCAAGTGTCAAATCTAACTTTCTTTGTTATATTTGAGAATCAAGCCATGGGCAGTGGTTAAAAACAACAGCAGTGAATCGTTTTCAGAAAAGTCAAGGAAGTTGAAAGGTACAGTAAGCTCTATGAGAACCATGTTCTCTCTACACGGAATTTCAAGGGGAAACTGCCCAGATGTACTGGGTGTGTGTTTATCCATTTGGACTGAAGAGCGTACTTGTTTGTGAATAAGTGAAAAAGAAGTTTTAACTGAACCTACATCCCTTCATTTTTGCTTTCTCACTGACTCAGCCCAGAACTGTTTTGAAAAGTTGACAACTTGAATATAGATGCTTTACGATATTTCTCCAAACCTAGCTAAACAGCTCTTTTTCTGAATCATAAATACTTCAGTGAATTCAGAATTCACTCGAGAGATGATTCAGCTGGCAACCAGCTGAGGACTGTAGATTCTCACTTCTGTTGCACCATGAGGTTTTCTCAGCATCAAATTCAGTGTGCTTCTGCCATAGACCGAAATATTTATCTACCTTGTCATGAGAATTCTTGATATTCAGTCTAAACACTCAGTGAAATTTCTATAGTATTTTTACCTTCTCCTATAAGAAATAACAGAGGGTTTATTAATTAGGGGAAATTGCTGCTATAACAAAGAACTGCAGAATTTCTGTGGCTTAGCACAGTAAAAGCTTAGTTATGCTAATAGTGGAGTGTGGGCTAACTGAGCAAAACTGCAGATGTTTCTAAACAGTTATAGTGAAGCCACCTACCTATACAATAGCTTCTTGGGTTCTAAATCCACGTATTTACCTCACGGAAGGGCACTGTGTATGCATGTTCTTGATTAGGGATTACTGAGTTTTTCTGAATAGCTAAAATTGCTTTCAGGAAACCATCAGGCTATAAAAACGTGTACACAAATTGGCAATCTGCAAATATACATGACAGCTAACATTTTCTGACACGGTGTTATTGATCAATAAAATTAAATTAGAAAAGAGCTAAAGATAGACCATAATTTGACAAAGGATTTTGAATGTATCTAACAGTATAGAAGGAAATCCCTTCCACTCTGATCTCTGCCTTGACACGTTATATTTAGATGTTAGAAACAGAACACATTCTCTAATTATAAGAGACAGTAACTAAAAGTGAAACCACGATTGACACACTTAAGTGGCTTGAAGAGGTTCAACCGCCCAGCAGGGGTGCATCGTGCTTGGGCACTAATTCACTCTGGGCCTTCTGAAACCTTCCCAGTGTTAAATATTCGAACTTGTTTTTCCCATCAACTGTCCCAGAAATGCCTTTATTTCAGAGTTCACACTGCTTCTCAAATCTGTACATGGAACAGAACGCCTTCAACCATTCATCTGTCTCAAGTTATAGTTGAGAAAATGCATTTGTTTTTACACTATCACAAACCAGAAATATGAAAAGAATGTATTTCTGCCCTCAAAGTAGCTTAGACCTTAAAGTACAGCTAACAAAAGATTAGAGAGGAAAAGAAGAGGAAGAAATCAGGGAGGCTGAAGGAAAGTTTCCTGATTCACACTACTTTGTTGCCTGGTGCCATTTAAAGTGCTAAAGATTCAGAGTTGTTCTCTGTTCCCACTTCTTGTAATCTTATCCCCGTGTCATTTTCAACTGGGGCCAGAGGTAGCATTTAATAGAAACAAATTGATTGGGACCAGGGCCCAAGGTGGCGTGGACTGTTCTAAGAAGCCAAGTTTCATAGAGTTGGCCCCAACAAAAGCAGTTTTCAAACACATTTTATACTCAGCTCTAGTTTTAGTCTTTGTTAGTACTTCTTTCTCTTCTCCAGACGTCCCTTCAAAGGAAGGATCCTGCTTGTTTATCTTTCTTATACCATTGCTTTGCCTAAAGTAGGTACCCGGTTTTACAGCTTAATATCAAAAATACAAACAACCCAGTCCAGAAATGGGCAGATGATTTAAATAGGCATTTCTCTAAAGAAGACATACAGATGACCAACAGGCACATGAATAGATGCTCAATATTGCTGATTATCAGAGAAATACAGATCAAAATTACAGTGAGGTATTGCTTCACACTGGTCAGAATGGCCATCATCAAAAAGTCTACAAATAATAAATGCTGGAGATGGTGTGGAGAGAAAGGAACCTCCTACACTGTTGGGAATGTAAATTGGTGCAGCCACTGTGGAGCACGGTATGGAAGTTCCTTAAAAAATTAAAAAATAGACCTACCATATAATCCAGCAATCCTACTCCTGGATATATATATATCCAGAGAACACTCTAGTTTGAAAAGATACATGCATCCCGATGTTTATAGCAGCACTATTTACAATAGGCAATATGTGGAAACAACCTAAATGTCCATGGACAGATGACTGGAAAAAAAATGTGGTGTATATATGTATACACATACACATACACACACACACACACACAAATATATATATAGTGAAATATTACTCAGCCATAAAAAAAGAATGGAATAATGCCATTTGCAGCAACATGGACAGACCTAGAGATTATCATATGAAGTGAAGTAAGTCAGACAGAGAAAGATAAATGTCATATGATATCACTTATACGTGGAATCTAAAAAAAAATTATACAAATGAACTTATTTACAAAACAGAAATAGATTCACAGACATAGAAACAAATTTATGGTTATCAAAGGGGAACAGGGTGGAAGAGGGATAAATTGGGACTTTGGGATTAACATATACACACTACCATATATGAAATAGATAAATAACAAGGACCTACTATATAGCACATGGGGACTATATTCAATAACTTGTAATAACCTATAAAGGAAAAGAACCTGAAAAAGAAATATAAATACATATAAATATAAATATATATATAACTGAATCACTTTGCTGTACACCTAAAACTAATACAACTTTGTAAATTAACTATACTTCAATTTTTAAAAAATTAAATTGATTAAATTATTAAAATAAATAAAAATAAACTCAAAGTCTAGTTTCTAGAACAGTGCTGCCCAATAGAACCTTCTACAAGGATGGTAATGTTATATATATATCTGTACTGTCCAGTATGGTGGCCACGAGCCACATGTAACTATTGTGTGCTTGAAATGTGACTAGTATAACTGAGGAAATGAATTTTTAATTAAAGTTTAAATGTGGCTAGTGGCTAATGGCTATTGTAGTAAATAGCACAGTTCTGGATGACTCATTGGTATCTCAGACTTAAAATGTCAAAACCCAAGCTTTGTGCCCATCCTCAGATTTCCTCCTTCTCATCTAAAAAGATGAGAACTCTTTCTTTTAGTTGACTAGATCTAAAAACCTTTATGTGATCTTTGATTCATTTCTTGCTCTAATACCT